CAGGAGGGTTACTCAGCTCCCCGTTCCTGTCTACCAGCTCAGGAGGCCAGCTGTTCTGAGGGCAACCTGTCTTATTGTTGAAAACCGAGGCAAAGAAGGTGTTAAGTACCTCATCCTTTTCCTCATCTTTAGTAACTATATTCCCCTGCATATAATAAATAATGGATGTTTTCCTTGCTCCTCCTTCTGCTATTAATGTATTTATAGAAACACTTGTTATTATCCTTTATGGAAGTGGCCAGAGTAAGTTCAGATTTTGCTTTTACCATTTTCATTTTCTTTCTACATGATCTAGCAACATCCTTAAACACTTTCTGAATTGCCTGCCCTTTTTTCCAAAGGTGATAAACCCTCTTCTTTACCTTGATGTGCTGGGGGCTGACCAGAGCACTTGGCTGTGTCAGGCCACAGGATCCTGGGCTGCCTGGGTGCTGGGTGCACCCTTTAGCTGCAGAGGTCTTGCTGCTGGAGATCTGTAATGGATTTGGGGTGCTGATGAGGGGTTTTGGTGGCTGAGGTAGGGGTTTTTGTCAGTGTTGTCATGATACGGTGTGGTTTCTGCAGCACTTCTGAAGCCAGAAAAACTTTTGGTTTGGACACAAAGCCTCTCTCTAACTGTAGTCCATGGTTGATTTTTCTTCCTATCATTTACCAGGAAAAGGAAGATGGCCCTCAGAACTCGCTCACTGCCTTTGGCATGCTGACTGATTGCTGCTTGAAAATCACCAAAGATGGCAAGTTATAGAAATTTGGCTTCATTGGCTACAAGTCTGGAGATGAAGCTCAAACAGCACTGTACCATTTCAACCAAAGTGTTGTAGAGACTTCCAGAGTCACAATGAGTTGATCCTTAAACACATCTTCATTTAATTCTTGAGAAAGTTTGTCATTGGAGTTGTTCAGGGGTGAATAGCTGGGGGCCAAGGAAGCCTGAAGTCCTGCAGCAAAACAGCCAAGTCTGATGTCAGGCCTTACTACTGGATTCAGCTGGCCTGTGTTCATGCACTGCCAGTGTTGGCTGGAACAGCAGTGTCAGATGGGGAGCTGTCATCTGAACTTTGGAACTTGAGCTTGTTTGTTTCATTCAATTTACTTTTCTGGACAGAGAATGACTCGCGATGAATAGGATTATTTCTTTGTCTATGCTGAAAGAAGCACAGCAAGCTGTTCCCTGTGTTGGGTGAACATGTAATTCTGTGCTTTTAGACTGAATGTCTGAATGAAGCTTCCTATTCTCCTGGTTACATCCTCTCCATCCCATCAGGGTGTAAGAAAGGAGTGAGGTTTATCCAGTTACAGAAGCAGGCTGTTGAACATCTGTTTAATGACAAATCTGATTCTTTTCAGGTTTAGTTATGTGAGTTTTGTCACCTTTAACTCATACTTTTTTTTTTCTTTTTAATGTTTTGTTTTGTTCTTTAAAGTACTTTTTAAACATCAGTTGCAAAAAAGCAAGAGGAAGACTAAGATCTTGAGAAGCCTTGAGTCACTCTCAGTGCTCATGGTGAGTGTGAAATGAACTCCTCCTTAAGGGATTTTTATTTTTTTACATTGTTGAAAGTGATATCTTTGAATTCAAAGTCACTACTAGCTCTTCTGTGTCTGCCTTCACAGCTTGTCTGCTTGGTTTCAGTTTCAACAGCTGGAAGATGTAACTATTCCAGGAGTTGGTGGTGGTTCTCCAGAACCAGTCTCAGGTGGCCACTTGGGCTTGGGCTCATGTGGACACTTTGACAGAGGAGCTGGAGAAGGGAGGATCAGAGTCAGAGGCGTATTTTCTCGCTCTTGGTTTAGCTGAGTCTGAGAAGCTGATTGAAAATGGGAGTGAACCCTCTGAAGATGAGGAGGAAACTAAAGGTACCAGAAGGGACTATCCCTCTTTGCTGTAACATGGTGCTCCTTTATATGATAAAGAAAGATGTGTGCTCTTCTGAGGTGGTAATCAAAGAGAGTTTATTTGAATTCGGACCTTCCCTATATACCCGGATACCATGTGACCTTCTTAACCAATGGGGTTGTCCCTGTGCATGTCCCTTGATTTCTCTGCCCCTGGGACACGCCCCCTACACTTTGCTTGTCTTTGTCTTGGTGACTGTGAGAGCAGATGTGCTGGTAGGACCGAGCTGGGAGTCCTGCCTCAAGATGGAAACAGTGTAATTCGGAAGGTGGATTCTCAAGCGTGAGACTGATTCTGTATTCTGTTAGTTTGTGTCTGAAACATGTTTTCATGGTTTAGGAATGACACTCCCCAGTTTAGTGCACCACACCCCCCCGGAAATATTCCCAAACTCAACACCACTCCCTTGCTCCCCCCAGTTCCCCTCCCAGCTACAGGGGTGGAGTTGAGAACTAGAGGCACAAAAAGGTGAAAGTTACAGGTTGCTGTAAGAACAATTTTACTGCAAACAACGAGATAAGAAAATGAACAGTAACAGCAACAATACTAATAAAGAAAGTGTTCAGAGAGGGTGGTTTACATGCAAAATGCTCAGCAAGCCTGGGACAATGAAAGAGTGGTGGAAGAACCCTATGCCAGACCGCTGCATCCGCCATGCTTGCTCCCGACCAGAAACCACACCCCTTCTTCTTGGAAGTGAGAGAAAATCTCTTTCCCCCACTCCTGAAAATGACATGAGTGTTATTGAATAACACAATGTCTTGGCCACATGCCTTCCCACTGATCTGGGTCAGAACTAGGGCAGCTACTCATGGCCTAGCCCTTATTCTATACCATCTAAGTCATGCCCAGATCCTATATCTTCCCACTATATACATACACATTTATATGTACACAAGCACAGGTATCATTTCCATAGTCAATGGCCATCCCTCCAAGATGTCTGTTGAGTTCATTTAGTCCATGGCTGTGGCTTCTACCCCTCCTAGATCTCTTCCAGTGCAGGATAGTTGATATGCTGTCAACTGGTTGCAAGCTGCATCAGGAGCTCACAACTGGTGTATCTGCAGCAGTCCATCTTCATTGTCCATTGTAGTCATGGCACGCAGTGACAGTGTCATTCAGCAACCGATACTATACAATTCAACATTACAGACTGTTCTCAGCCAAAAATCATATCCCCTTGAGGTACACATCATGTTTCCCTGTCCGTCTGCATGACCCACTAGGTGCAAAAACAATCAGTCCTATGGATGGGTTTGCTTTTGCTTGAGGCAGGACTGATCCAAACTTTCTTCTCTAACGCATTTCTCATACGCATCACAGGGATTTTATCCCCTTCTACAGTATGTAGAGATTCTGATTGTGTGGGAGCAACCTCTGGACATGTTTAAATTTTGGAAGTGTATCCAAATTTGGGAGGTGGGCTCCTGAAAGAGGATGACAGTGCCCTAGTGTTGGTGGGGCAGATGATAGGCTGCCCTGGGGAGGTGAAGGCCAGCAACAGCTTTCTGCAGTGCTTCCCAGTCTCCCCAGTGCACCTAGTGCCCTCCTCAGTGCTCCCCAGTCTTCTCAGTGCTCCCAGGACCACACCACTTTCCAGCACCTACCTTCTAGTGGTCCCCAGTCTTCCCAGTGCCCTCTCCCAGTGCTCCCTCACTGATCCTCGATTCCCCCTCCAGTGTTCCCCTGTCTCTCCACTCAAATGGTAGCACCTTCTTGGGCAGTGACATCCCAGCAGGCATCAATGACTCTGTGGGTGGTTGTCATGTGAAAGGGGAGGGGGTTTGCCTGACCCTTAGAGAGGGGAGATTTTCTCAACCCTTAGTGATTTATTTGTCTGTCAGTGTCCGACCAGTCTGTTGGCATCTTGTAAGGGGAGACCCTTCACTGAACAGATTCACAAGATTGGAGGGTGATTCAACTGCCCTTTTTTGGGGGAGGGGGGTTAAGCCAACAGCATGGAGACCCCTCAGCTGGCCTTCCCAACATGTTATCTGCTGCTGGCAACTGCCAGCATCGGTAAAGGCTCACTCTAAGAGTTTATGGAATAACACTGTTTATTAAAATAAATTGTGACAGGTTAATAAGGTTTGAGGATCGTCTGACTGCAAAAATGTGTTTGAAGCAATCTACTGTACTACAAAGCAAGCACAAACAAAAACTCTAATCATAAAAGCAGCATTTAGCGTGCATAGAGTACGTTTCTTACCCAATAGGTGTCCCTATAGGGGAGAAGACAGGTTCAGCCTGTCAACTGATCCCAGCAGTTTTGTTGGAGTCTTCCTCAATTTTTCCCCTATTCCCAACTTACTTTTTTTTGGATTTCTGATTGGTGTAAAGTTCTCCTGCCATGCTTAATGGGGGTGGTGGGGTGGTGGATGTGGCTTGGCATTTGAAGAGAGGGTTTGACATGAGCGTTGACTCAGCAGCAGAACACTTTAATCCATCTCCTTTGGCTGACAGGTACCGCATGGTCTCCTTAACAAAGTACCACAATGTCCCTCTTTCTACCAGGATTTGAATGGAGGGGGGTGCATAGTCTTTGCTCCATCCCTCTGAGCAGATGCTTATCACTGTATGGGGAGCATGTCGACTGCATTCCATCCAGGGATTTTACTCTAGAATTCTTAGTCTTCCCTAAATTTTAATCCTAGTGGTGGGTTAAAACCAGTTCATCCCACAGTGGTGGCGTTCCCACAGGCACCTTTCTCTCTCAATTCCCTATTACCTGTGCCAGGAAATGCACTCTGGAGATCTCCCAGGTGTCTGAATTCTCCTCCTGGCAGGTAGCAGGGGGGTACATGTGCCCCGTGAAGATCAGGGCTTGTGAAGGAGCCTCACCTACTGTTCCTCCTGTAGAGGAGGTCTCTAGCAGGTACCTACTAACATGGTGCCCACCTTGGCCTACCTGCTGCTCAGTCCCACCCTGAGCAGAAGGCAACCCACCTCCTCATCTTCCTGAGGAGCCCGTGTCCCCCACACAAAGCTCCCCAACCGCCATGGTGCCAGCACGGTCCTAACCATTAGATGGCTCCATCACCAGGCCCAGGCCACTCAGTCCAGGTGGGAACATCCCCGGCAGTATTTATTTTGTATCCATGGGTGGACCTCAGCAGGTGAGCAGCCTCCCAGACCTGTCACTACCAGCCACGTCTGCAGCCACCACTCCAGCCCTTGCTCCTTGGCCGCTGGACGAGCATCTGGAGCTGAGGTGGGAGAGAGAGGTGTCTGGTCATACAGGCAGGGAGAAGGCACAGAATTCCTGTGGGATTGGCTAAGGCACCAGGGATGGAATCACCTCAAGGTGTCCATGGAGTGGGAGATGCCCCTGGTGATTTCCCAGCCTATGAGAAGGTCCTATGGTGCAGCTGGGGCAAAGCCAGGTTGGGCTGAGACCTTGGGTGTCCCCTACAGGTGTCCTGTACAGGTGCCCCTGGTCAGGACAAGGTGTCGTGGGGTAGAACTCTACCAAGGAAGGGCTCTCAGGGTTTGGGAAGCAGGCAGCCAGCCATCAGAGTCCCTCTGCCTCCAGCCAGGACTTTTCTATCCTACAGGGGAAGCCAATGCTGGGTGTCCAAGTGGGCATCAGGGGGTTCCAGCCCAAAGGCAGCCTCCAAACCCACTTCTGTCCCCCAGGGCTGCCTCAGAGGAGGGATGGGGGGAATTCTATCCCTTCAGAGTTACCTGCAGAGCTGCTTCTGTTGCTTCTGCCGCTGCCGCTTGTTCTCAGCCAAAAACGTGAAGATGTTCCTCCGTGTCTGATGTGGCTCCAGCGCATGGAGCACCTGGATGGCTCGTGGGGAAAGATGCCTGCAACAACAAGAAATCATTCTCCCAGAGCTGCCATCTGCCTCTCCCCTCATCCCAGCCTGCGCCCACCTGGTCCCACATCCACCCATCTGGTCCTGCATTCACCCACCTGGTCCCAGGCTGGAATCTCTCCACCATCTCGTCCACAGGGAGGGGGGTTCCAGCCCTCCCCCATGTCACAGTGACCCCCTTTCTCTGGGGCTGGAGTGAAGGATGGGGAGCCCAAGGACCTCCAGGGCCAGATACCTGCCAAGGAGGGGACGCTTTCAGTAAACAAGAGGTGACACTTCCTAGTATCCTTGGAAAGGTGGGAGCCGGGAGACTCCGCACCACACCATGGCTGATGGCTGATGGTGCTTCCCAGAGCTCTCCCTTGGGGAATGAGTGGGCAAACTCTGCTCTGTGGTTGGGTGACCCCCAACTTCCCCCCAAGGAATCCCATCTCCTTCAGTCCTAAGAATCCCCCCAAAGTCCCAGGATACTCACAATCCCCAGGGCATACCAAACCCTCTCAGAGACCGCCCTCCTCCATCCAGGTCCCCAGGGACTACCATCTCCCTGGGAAGAGTCCCCCAAAACCCCAGGATCCCTCCAATCCCCAGGAATTACCCCCAAACCACCCCCGAGGACCCTCAAAGCCCCCTGAGATATCCTAAGCCCTCCAGGAATCTCCAACCCCTACAAGAGACCCCTCCCCCACCCCCCAAAGGTCCTTCCCTGATCCCCTTGAGGTCCCCCCTGACCCTCAATTCCACCCTCGGTGCCCCTGTTCTGGGAGGGTTTTATGGGCAGCCAAGGTGCCCTCACACACAGGGTCCCTGCCCATACCTGGGGCACCTGCTGATCCTCCCTGGCAGCCCAGGCTTCCCACGCCACCCATTCCACCTTCTGCTCTCTCCAGCAGGAATTCCCGTGCTCCCACTCTGCAGACAGCTGACAGACCTCCTGGAGGTGTCAGGCACAGTTAGGCTCAGCTTTGGAGGAGCTTTCTTCAGGTCTGATCCATCTGGCACATACCTGCAGTGCTCTCTGGCAGTTCTCAGAGGCCAGGAGTGTGGTGTCGAGCCTGGCCGAAGGAGCTGACTCCTGCCCACCTGTCTCCCCCATCCCAGGAAAGATGCCTGGGGACAGGGGGAGCACACTGCAGAGACATGAAGAGTCAGCAGGAGCACAGGGCAGGCAGATATCCTGTTTTCCTATGGGGCCAAAGCTTCCCAGGTGTTGGAGAGAAGCAGAGAGCTAGGGCTGTTTCCCGTGGTCCTTCCTGAGTCACTACAGCCCAAGTGTCTGAGGAGGCTATCACCCAGGGGTGCAAGGATCCCTCCCATCCCTTCCCACGAGGGTCTCACCTGGCAGATGGCTTCATCCCTGGCTCTTGCTGCCTCTGGTTTGGTAGCATGGGGAGGGAAAACTTGTCAGGATGTTCCTGTGCCCCTGGGAAAGGAGGCAGCTCTTGGGAACAGCCCTGTGAGGGTGAGTGATCACCAGGCTGTGATCACCCCATGTGGGGTAGAGCAGCAGGGACCCATCCCGTACCTGTTCTGACCCTGTGCTTCTCTGCAACCTTCGTGTGCCAGGTGGAGAAAGCCTCAGACAGAGCAAGCTGAAACCTGGAATCACAGAATAACATACTGAATTGGAAGGGACCCCCAAGGATCACTGAGGTCAACTGCAGAAGCGAATGATGACACAGGCTTGAGGAATGGCAACTCCCACACCCTGCAGGATAGAAAGGAACCGGGAAGCCACTGAGGAAGCACACTCACCTGGGGAATGAGTGAGCCCATGCAGCCTGCATCCCCCCAGCAGCGGTCGCTCCATCACTGAGACCAGCATCCGGCACACACAGCCTCTGTAGAGTGACATGGAGCCATCAGGAGATTCCCATGGAGGAAGCAGACCTGTCTCCTGCTCTTTTAGGAGCCACTTCTCCAACCCCCTTTTCCCAAACCTCATCCATGAATATTAGGATCGTGGAATCACAGAATCATTAAGGTTGGAAGAGACTCTGGAGACCATCAAGTCCAACCAAGGACACCACTAAACCATGTCCCCAGATGCCACATCCACACGTCTTAAATACCTCCAGGGATGGTGATTCCACCACCCTGGGCAGCCTGTGCCACAACTGGACAATCCTTTACACGAAGAAATGTTCCCTAAAATCCAACCTAAACATATCCTGGTGAAATTTGTCCAGTCATTTGTTATCTCGGAGAAGAGACTGACCTGCACCTGGCTACACCTTCCTTTCAGGTAGATGCAGAGAGCAAGACAGTCCCTGCTAAGCCTCCTTTTCTCCAGGCTGAGCCATCCCAGCTCCCTCAGCTGCTTCTCATGAGACTTTTGCTTCAACCCCTTCCCCAGCCCTGCTGTCCTTCTTTGGACACACTCCAGCACATCAATGTCCCCAGATTCCAGCTCACAGTGAGCAGCAGAGCCACCCAGGTGTCCCAGTTCTCCAGCTTCTCGACGCAGTTGCGGTGGAACTGCATGCACAGGACATTGTCCTGGCACGACAGGACGCCAATGTCCCCAAAGGCAAAGGCAAGGCGCTGCCTGTCCCTCAGCTGAAAGGAGTATAGGAGGACGGTCTCCTCCACACAGTCCCTCAATACGTCTGGTGGGAGGGACGTGGTCTGTGACAGCCACCAGTAATCCAGTGGTGCGATCTCAATGTCACCTGTAAGGAGGAAGAGGATGAGCATTGTCATGACCACAGCTGAGCAAATTTCCACATGGAATTCACTGCAAAATGCCAGAGAGAAAGAGGGATTTGTTTTTGTCCCCCAACTTTGGAGGCAATTCCCCCCCCCCTCCCAAAAAGCAGGGGCACACCCCTCTCCCAAATGTGAAGCAGGATCCCTTCTCACCAGGGATCATCACTGTGGGGAACATCAGCTCCCGCAGACAGGACACATCCATGTCCAACTGGAACACAGGTCTTCGGACTACATACACCTCTTCTGCACCATCAACTTGCTCAGGGACCACAGCAAAGGTCCCTAGTCCTGGGACCAGGACACCCTGCCCAGGAAGAAGACAAAACAGCTGAGTGAATACTTTGGAGATAAGAAATGTTAAAACTGTGGGAAAAATGAAAAACCCACATTCTCCATTTTCTTACTTCCCCTCTTCAAATTATTTACCAAAATTCCTTGACTAAAGAAGATCCCAAGGAATTCAAACCCAGGGAATGATTCCTGGGGATTATCCTTGGCATAGACCCAGCATGATCCTGAGTTTCTCCAGTCCTGGAATCTTGAGGCACATGGGGTTCTCTTGGGGTGGTGCCGTGATGCTCAGGGAGAGGGGACTACAGGGGACCAAGATGCCAGCCCACCTTGTCCTGCTTCATCTGCCCCAGGATGTACACAGACACGATATCCCAGATGGCCACCACCTCTGGAAAGTACCAGAAAGAGGCATCAGGTTCCACATGCGGCATCTCGGAAGTGACATCCGGGAAGTGACAGATGGGCCTCATAAAGAGCCTGGCCGTTCCCCAGGTTCTGCCTCCCTCTGCTCAATGAGCAGGGCTGGGGCAGAACTGGGGATGTGGGAAGGGCTCAGGACCAGGGTTGTGATCATCCAACCCCCAAAAAGAGATGGCACCCCAAAACCCAGGTTGATGTCACGAGAGGATCCTATGGGAAGAACCAGAAGGTCTCCCAAAGGAGACTAGTTAAAGGGCTGATGCCCAGCCAGTTCCTGAGAACCCAGTGAGAGCTGTTGGACCTCCCATGCCCCAGGACCCCAGACCCCTTTTCAATCCAGAACCAGAACTGTGAGAAGTGCCAGCTCCCATTGGAAGTTGGCCCTGGATGGGGGACACGCCATGCTCACAGCAGCCTCGAGGCAGCCCCAACCCTGTCCAACCATTCCACCAGCCGTCAGGGAGCTCCCCAAATCTTCACCCTCAGTGGAGAGCTGCAGGAGTGTGGGGAACAAGCAACTCTGCTTCTTGTTGATGCTGACAGTGCAGCACCCCTCCATCCTGCTCTCCAAATTCCTGTCTGATGACCCCTGCCCTGCTTGTCCCCAAGGGCCAGAACAGCCTCCACAGCCCTAAAAACAGCCCCCTGATCCCCCCTCCCGGCTCCGGGCAGGCCCCAGCAGCCCCCAGTCCTCACCGTGGAGTGCACCCGGTGATGTGGGGCACCACTTTGTGACATCACCAGCGGCCTGGGAAGGTGCGTTATGACATCAGCAGGGAGATGGCACAGCAGGGGAGCGGGGAAGGGATTGAGGAAGTAAGGGCCTCTCCTGGCTCACCTCAGCTGTTACCAGGTGTCATTGCTGCTGAGCTGGGCCGTGGTCCTACAGATAATCATAGACGATAACAGATATAAATATATAAAAATACACAAATAATATCGATTTAAAAAGAATCATAAATCATTTTTATGGGCTTTATCGTCTATGAAATTTCAGGGATTAAGGGCTTTTCCCACCCAGAATGCTATTTTTTAACCCAAAAAAACTTAAGATAAGGTGTTTTTTTTCTTCTTAGTTAAAAATCCAACAAACCCAAGGAATAATGGAGAAAAATTAGGGCTTCTGCTGGGAAAAAAACACCTAAACCAATGAAAAGGTGATAAGGACTCTTTGATTTAAAAAAAATATGTCTAAAAAAGCAGGAGACGAAGTGGTTTTTCATTAAAAAGCCCCAGGGAATAAGGATGTTCTGGGGAAAAATAAGGAATAATAAGGTTTGGAGGGATATCAAAATTGAAATAAAGGTGGAGTTTTTTTTATTAAAGAAGAAATAAATAAACTTTTTTCCTTACTAGAGATAATAACAGGTTTTTTGCTGAAAAATAAGTAGTAATTAAGGAATGAGGATTTTTAAAAATTAAAATAAGGCAAATAAAATGGGTTTCTTCCTTAAAAAACAATATCGTTAAAAAGAGAGAGTTACAAGGGCTCTTATTGCTAGACAAATTAAAGGTTTTGTCCCAAAAATCTTCCTTTTTAAACTCGAAGGGGTTTCTTCATGTTTTCCTGAGAAACCCCTGGCGGAACTTCCCATGGGAAGGGATGGGCTCAAAAAAGTGCAGATTTTGGGTTTTGAATCTGGGGAATGGGCATGGGGGTTGGGTTGCAAAAGTAACCCTGAAATTCTGGAGAATTTCAGGGTTGAAATTGATCCTGTCACAGACAGGGGATATCGTGATAGGTACTGGACCCACAGAGATGTTGTGCTGGATGTGGGAGCCACATCAGTATCCCCAGCAGCCCCCACTTTCCCCTGGAATCCCCCTACCAAGTTTCATTGCTGGATTCAGCAGGTGGTGACTATATATACCTTTCCACTTTCTTCCTTTCTTTCTCTTCCTTTCCTTATATATTTCCTCAAGTATTACTTTTATGCTTTAATATTGCCTACTTTAACATGCTTTAATATTGTACTACTATAGATGATAACACCCAAAATGGCAACATACCTGTTTACTTTTGAAACAAAATTGTTCTAAAATAAACCCTACATATATATATTTACAAACACTGTTTCACTGTAGGCCACCCAAAGGGATTTATTAACAAGAAACTGGGTTACCCTGCCCTTCTGGGATGATTTGTAGAAGGTTGGAAGGAACCTTTAATATCATCTCATTCCAGCCCCATGCAGGGGCAGGGACACCTTCCACTAGACCAGGTTGCTCCAAGCCCCATCCAACTTGGCCTTGAACACTTCCATGGACAGGGCAGTCACAGAATCTGTGGCAGGTTTTCCAGGAAGGCTTTGATGGTGGTAACAGCTTGTGCAGAATTCCCCTATTCCAGTCCTCAAGTTGCTGAAGAGGAATTTAGATCCCTGCATCACCCCACTGATTTGAGTGCCAGCAGTTTGTAACAGTCACTCTCATTCTCCTTCCTTGCCTGAAGCATTGCTATCCTCCTGCAGCAGTGACAGACAAAGGGGTGTAGGGGCTGTGGAGAGGACTGGAGGACTTGGGAATGTTTCCTGACCTCAGTGTGCCAGTCAGCACCGCTGCATCTCTCCCACAGGCAAACCAGAGCATCTTTCTGGTTCCCTTAGCATATCTCCCACATCTAACAGGGTCTGTGGCAGAGTGGGAGCATTTTAATTATCCTTTGGCAAAGTTTTAAGCTTATTCTTAATTGTTTTTAATTCCTCAGGGGAACACCTGGGAACAGATTTTTTGCATTTCCTTCATCCTTGAGATGATCAAGGGATGGGAACCTTCAACTTAGTTGAGGTCAAGTGTCAATAAAAAAAGGCAGTTACATTATTTTGTCAATGTTAATACCTGAAACTGTGAAATTTCCCTCCCCACTAGTAGTGTTACTATTTAGTGCACTTTTTGCTGCTAAATAAATGGTATAGTTTCTTCTTTGTTTCTTAAAAAAAAAGAAATATTTACAGATAAGGTCCAGTTAAGCAAAGGTCCTAAATGAGTCCCCCTGTGTGAGGAACTGGGCAGTTCCCAGCCTCAGTCACCACAGGGGCACCTGCCAGATTTAGGCTGAGCAATGTTGGACAAAAATTATATGCTGGTTATGCAAGTGAAGTGATGCAAGAATAAATCCAGGTTTTTAAAAGTTTCCCTGTGTGCTGTCACGTTCTTGAGAAGTGCTGGACAAGAGTGAGATGGTGTCAGGAAATCTCTAGGTGAGTGTCTCTTCCCTCAGGCACCAATCTCTGCTCTGTGTGACCCAGTGACAGGACTCGAGGGAATGACTGGAGCTGTGTCAGGGGAGGTTTAGGTTGGATATTAGGAAAAGTTCTTCCCCCAAAGGGTGGTTGGGCACTGAACAGGCTGCCCAAGGCAGTGGTCACAGCACCAAGGTTGCCATAGCTCAAGGAGCATTTAGACAACACTGTCAGGGAAATGGTGGTTTTGTTGGGGTGACTTGTGCTGGGGAAGGAGTTGGACTTGGATGATCCTTGTGGATCCCTCCCAACTCAGAATATTCTGTGATTCCATGATTATCAATGCTGCCAACACTCGCCTTGCTCCCGAGATGGACCAGGAACAGACGGGCATGACTGGAAAAGTCCCAAACCCACTCTAAAAGCATAGGGCAGGGAGAAAAAGAGAGAGAGAGATAGAAAAAGTTCTGGTTCCAGTGTTGATCTATCTTGATGTTAATCCTGATTTCTGCATTGATCCAGCTGCATCACTCTGGCCGATGGGATGTCCACTTGGCCTCATCTGCAGGCCCAACCACGGGCCCAGGTGTAGCAGGGAGGGAGGATGCTGAACTGAAACCATACACTGTTGAAAGCTCAACAGTATTACCAAAAAAGTAGCCAACAAAACAAAAACCCAAGAGAGGAAGGAGGAAGAAAATAAGCCCTCAGTATGACTCCCCCACTAACTCAGGTGTTGCTTACAAAGTTATCTTACTGACCCCAGAATGCCTAGAATTACACGTAGCAGAAGCTGCATCTTCGGAGTGTCGGCAGGCTCACAAGATGGCGGGCGTTCCCACAAAAGGCAATGTTGTCCTTCAATGTGAAGCTTGAGTTCCACTCCCAGCACAAGCTCTCTGCTTTTTATGCAATTAATTGGTGACGTCTACCTGGGCAGGTGTGGCCAGCACTGCCCAGCTAGAGGCCTTCAGTCCCTCCCTCCGTTATACAAGTGGCATCTCTTCTGCGCATGCGTGGGTACTCTGCATTTCCCCATGCCTGCATGTTGCACCTTGGGGGGTCTTTTCTAAATGAGTCTGGGGGCGTACTTCATCACCCTCCTCTTCACTTTCTTCTTCAAATGCCCTTGAAGGGCCATCAGCCAATAGTGAGGTACCAATTAATTTCAGTTTATATAAGATGCCTTCCTTCAAGGACAAAGTTTTCATTTATCAGTACTTGTTTTCTCATAACTTGGCAGGAAAAGAACAGATTCTCACAAGTGGCTGGGCCAAACACAGACCAAAAAATAGCAGCATCTAATTAAGCACGAATACACCAGGGCAGGCTGGGAGTTGGGGTTCCCTTCCCCTTCTCCATCTCCATCCTCTTCTTGTCCATCTCTGTCGTTGTCTCCTGCAGAGAGAAATCCAGTGAACTACTTCCTCTTGAGAGAGTGGATCTCCTGGGACTGGGCTAAGCTCCCTGCTCCTTTATATACTCCTTGGGCAGGGCAGGGCTCTGGTGATGTCCCAAGGCCCTCTGGGCACCAAAATGTGCCACATCACAAAGGGCCCTGAAATGTGCCTGTGTCGTAAAGGGCTACACCCGACACCCCATCAACAGCAGAACCGACTGGAGGCAGCACAGGGCAGCCCCTTGTAGCCCCTGCTGTGCCCAAAGCCCAGAGCCCTACACACCAACAAACAGAAAATATAAACTTTTAAAAAGTCATACCCAGTTCTATTACAGCTATCCATTAAAAAATCAAACATTCGATTTCTTCTTTATAATAATAATAATAATGGCCAGTCTTCGCGAGCGAAGATTTGGGAAAGGTCATTAACCCTTCGAGCCTGCGCAGTGGATTTTTTAGGTGAGACCCAGCGTGCACTGAACTGAGCCCACCCTTTAATCCTGAGGTTCATCTGCCGGGGCCGAGCAAGCTTGGACAGTGGCAGTGAGGTCCTCAGAACGTAGGTTTGTTTAGAGTGACCTTCTCTTAGATGGATTGCCTTACAAGGCTGACGAGCTCCATCTGCCCGGGGGGCTGGGAATCGAACCCGGGTCGCAGCGGTTAGAGTCCTGCACCCTAACCACTAGACCACCAGAGGCCACTCTTCTTTATAAAGTACAATGGTACTGCATTGCCCTTATTTGTGAAGGACCAGGAATCAGAATGGGAAAAATCTCAGAAGTGGAAAAGGATGTACAGTGATTGAATGGACTTTATGATACAGACTTTATAGTTATTATGTATACACACATTGTATGTTCCCCCAGAATTTGTATCTTCCGGGCATGTCCCGGCCTGTTCACCTCCCTGCTCCCCTGTTTCTCTGCCGATTGGCTGAAGGAGCTGCAGGGAGGAAACAGCCTCCATTTGCCCCTTCTCTCCCCAGTTCCTCCCACGTTCCTCCCTCTTTTGCCTGTGCCCCTACCCTGATTTGCTCCCCCGTTTGTCTGTCTGATACCCCACCCTATGTTCTGATCCTTTCCCTGCCTGAA